TGGGTGATTTGGAATTTGGGGGGTTTGGAATTTGGGAGGTTTGGAATTTGGGAAATTTGGAATTGGGGTGATTTGGAATTTGGGGGGTTTGGAATTTGGGTGATTTGGAATTTGGGGGTTTGGAATTGGGAGGATTTGGAATTTGGAAAATTTGGAATTGGGGTGATTTGAAATTTGGGGGATTTGGAATTTGGGAAATTTGGAATTGGGGAGATTTGGAATTTGGGTAATTTGCAATTTGGATGATTTGAAATTTTGGAAATTTTGGAATTTAAAAATTTGTAAACATACCAAATCTTGAATACACAAAATACAAGAACATCTTCTAGCACACTAATTTAAATGATAGAAAACGTAGCCCAGTTCCATTCGATTCCATTGTTAAAAGAAGCTATTTATAGTAAGAAAGATGGTTGTCGTAAGTACCGATATTCACTTTCCATCGTTTCAGGTTTACGGTACTGCACTGCTTTATTTGGGAGCCACTGATTTACAAGGACATCCCGTGGAGAAGAAGCTATTCCAGTTATTGGTGTAATCGGATTGCTCCCTGTCGAGTGTCACTGATAGAACACTAAGGAGGCAATGGTACAGCACCTACCTCTACGAATAACTATCCCACGAAAAAAAGATTGATATTAATGCGACTACAATATTCGGTGAAGCGTGTTGATCCTGTCCCCGATGATCGTTTCATCGACTTTCATTAAAAGTGCCCGGATCGAACACAGCTGTCCCTGTCGATTCATGTATTAATCATCATTATAACTCTTTAATGAAACGATAGTAAAGGTCTACTTCTAAGAATCCTTGCTGCTTTCATTCAAATTAATTAATCATTAAAAGCTCTTTGTTGTTCCATCTCAGTATTACATAAATTCAATGTTATAACATTTTTTACTTTCTATGAAAAGGATTCTGTAACTGTGAAATTTATTTTATGAGGTAAATTGTGAGGTTAACTCCTTCATTAAATATCTGAGTCGCTTAAAGGACCATTAAATGCATATTAAAATACGTATCATATATTGCAGACAATATCTATATTAAGGATGAAGTTTGAGTGATCGTTGGATGATTGACGAGTTACACGATGCTCGCGAATGTCTAAATTCCGTGGAAATCTATTAATAACGCCGGTTTCACGCATTAAATCACGATCCGTGGCAGTGAATCGCACATTCTTGCGTGCATCGACGGAACATTCGTTGACCTCGAGCTGAAGTATCGAGGCAGACCTAATTTGTGCTCTTCGAATAATTAAATCAAGTTGAAATTTAATTTTACCAGCGCCATTCAATCTGCGGTTAATTCACCGCTGCGCCAGGAAAGACGACTACTTAATGCGGTATCCATTTTGTATCGTGCCTCGTAACTCTTCTGGCTTCGTTAAAAAACTCTTTTCGTTTCACTTTTGATAGACAACTTTTACCTATAAAATTCTCTTTGATTACAATTCAATTTTTTATGATATACTTTCCTCTCGTACTTTTTGTATTTATGTGCAGACATAATTTTAACGATATTTGGACTTAGGTGGTTGAAGAATATTTTAGGTCTTTTAGGGACTTATAGGAATTATTGGTTAGGTGGAGATTTTTAGGGTTTTGGGACTTGTGGAGTTTTAGGACTTTTAGGGAGTTATAGGGATTGTTGGTTAGGTGGAGATTTTTAGGATTTTTGGGACTTCTGGAGTTTTAGGACTTTTAGAGACTTTTAAGGATTACTGGTTAGTTGGAGATTTTTAGGATTTCTGGGACTTCTGGAGTTTTAGAACTTTTAGGGACTTTTAAGGATTATTGATTAGCTGGAGATTTTTAGGACTTTTGAAGTTTTAAGATTTTTAGGGATTTAGGTCTGCAGGACTTTTGGATTATGGGACTATAGGGACTTTGGATTATAGGACTTTTGAACTATGGAACTTTGGGGATTTTGTACTGCAGAACTTTGAAATTATATTACTTCTGGAATTTTTGAGTTATGGTACTCCTGGAGTTTTTAAATTTTTGGACTTCAATAAGTTTCTCTACTTGATTTATATTTTAAGCAAACATTGTAACAATGGAATTTAATAGAACATTGTATACTGTCATACATCACTATCTTAAATTAGAGCTTTTGTTACCCACTGCTCATCGCTTCTGAATCACAGCTTGATACTATTTCTTCCAGAGTGAAACTCCTGCCCAAATTTTGAGACTAAAGTCTAGGTAACTATCTAATTGAATCGACTTCCTCCATAGGTAGTAATGTACCTATTAGTTAATGTACTTTTGAAGAACTAAAAAATGCAGTTTAAGTTGGCTCGACGTGAAAGGTAAAGTTTATACGAATCGATTTCTCGTTTATACGGTGCGAACGCGTTGTTGCGCAACACACGACAATGGCCTGATTGTAAATAGCAATCGTAGCAACTGATAAATTATGTTGATTCGAGCAAAAGCCATTTTGCTTCCTCGGTTCGATTCGACGTGTATTTTCGTACCTTATCGTTGCTTTACATCGACGAGCATAAAGTCATGTTTCCCTTGTTAATAATCTCAAACGATACGGTTGTTTTCGAAGGAGAATAGGATATTCTTAGAAGTGATCGCATCTGTTGTTTCTATTCGCTGAAATTGTTTTAGATACTGAAATAGTCGAGAAAATTGTATGACCGGCAATAATCGTATCGTGTATCTCGTTCCTTTTATAAGAGACTGCAACTTCACATTTTACATTTCTTTATCAGAATTTAACTACTTATAACTATTTCCAATTTTTGTGTATCTACTTATAATACTCGCAATATTTTTTAAGTGTTAACAAAATATTACAAGCAACGCTATTGTCATTTCATAAACTATTATAATACAAATTAATTAATAAGACATTGTATCAAAAGAAACATACATTTGTACAACAAGAATTAAGTTAAAAATTTGCAACAAAATTTTTGTATATAGGACTTCATTTTCAAGAATATTGAATTGGAAAGTTCGTCACAATATTTGTTTATAACAACAAGAATATTAAAAATACAAGAAAGCGTTACAATTATAATTATTGTAAAATATGTGAACAAAAAGTTTAGTTTAAAGTGCAGTGCGTTGCACGGTCCAATTTAAGCGCAATAAACATTTTAAAAGGGTTCAAGTTTCCGTCTCATATTAAACGTCCGTTTTTAGGCTGTAGGTCGAATTCATCCGTCACGGCTCTGAGACTTCCGTTCTTTGTTTGGTGCCTCTATTTCAGCACATCCTCAAGTACAACATGACGTAAAGAAGACCGTAGTTATCCCCTAATAGCATGTGAACAGGCTCCTAACCTTACCTCAGAATTACACTACTTCCGTTGTTTCTATATTTACTATGATTCAAATTTCTAAATTTAGTCATTCTCAAACCCCAAATTCTAGATTTCCACATTCTCACATTTTAATCCCCTAAATTAGCAATTTCCTAAATTTCTAATTCCCTAAATACCCAAGTCCCAGAATCCTTAAGTCCCTAAACCCCAAGTCACAAAGTTGCAAAGTCCCAGTACTAAAAATTAATCCCAAACTATTAAAGAAAAGGAACCTCCAAGATTGCAATCAAACTCGCTAATTTTCAAGCATGAATTGACTACTCAAGATAAATGGCACTCCTAGACTCACATATTTCATCGATACAAAAGCACATGCATCTACCTGCTTGATTTTCAACGATGACAGTTTCTGCAATTACAATCACAATGGTTAATCAATTCTCCGACCATCCAGCAATAATCTACCATCATGTGTAAACGTCAATTCAGGCAGTACAATTTCGTCGAATAAATACGTTTCGGAAACGTTAAATTCACACTTCCTGTATAAAGAGTCGATCGAACAAGGTTAATAGTCGGCTTCCTGCGTTGATCGCGTAATTATGATAGAAACCTTGACGAAGTAATACATTGTATTCCGTTTGTTGCATCTACAGCTGCTAATTAACAATTAATTGACATTCATGAAGCTAAGACAGAAAAATTCAAGTATGTTACGAATATGAGCCCCTTTGACAGGTTCTTGGACGAGCAGATGCTCAATTTATTGGCCTCTTTGCACACTTTGAACATCTGAACCCTCTCAATGAGCCAAGGTCTTCTTTGATCCTAATATTAATCTTAGACTACCTTGTCTGCTCACGTATTGTATTAAATACTAAATATTTTCCCGTATTCGAAAATTGAATTTATTTCGAAATACCTCATTTTTAGGTTACAATTATGTTCTTCGACTTGTCCTGATATTTTTTGATGACTTGTACATCCTATGATTTGATACATAAATCTTGATAAGTGTATAACTTGTGTGTCATTGTAAATTTGCCCTTGGAACTTCTTGAGGATCATCTGTACAAATAAAATAAGTCCATGAGTTTACAGTTACAATAAAAATACCTGTAGTTTATGTTAAAAAATATCTTTGTAAGAAAACACAAGTGTGAACTTAATAATTTTTAACAATTGTTTAAATTTCAAAATCTCTAAATTCCAAGATCCATAAATTTCTGTGTTCCCAAGTTCTGAACCCATCCCGTAATTTCAGATCCTCAAATATACCTAAAGCTCAACGAATTGTAGGTTTATTCACCCTTTGTTGACCCATTTTCTCTAGGAAAGCTAGATTTACTCTCGACTGTACTCTGATTGCACGCATATCAGTTCTACCGGTGATATATCACAGTGTTGACAAACACTACACCATAAAATCGCGACTGACATTGAATTAACGTTACGTAAAGCTATTTATATTGTATGCAGTAGCTTTTAACAGGACAAGCCTGTATCGTGCGTAAGATAAAAATTCTAAAGTGCTTCCGATTCTGGTTAACTCAATCGAGAAACTGTTTCTAAAAGACGTACTATCTGTTCGCCATTATCCTAGTATGAAGACTATATATAATGTAGTTTACAGTTGTAAATAAAATAGCCTTGATCCATCAATACACGATTTCTATTTCTGAGACGTTACGGAAGATAACAAAAATACCAAACCTAACCTCGCGCGCAATTGTTTCGTAATAAGTTACGACTTATAATTACGGCGCACTCGCGTTATATAGCCTTACGAACAGATCCTTCCACGAAGGAAAGGAAAAGCCTTGAAAGCGTATAAAAAGATCTGCAGCTAAGGGACAATTTAGAATATCGTTCCAATGATCGGAAATCACGATCGGATCAATCGAGTAAAGGAGCTTAACTTGGCTACCTATCCTGTAATCGTTGCGCTTATTCTTTTCATCGTGGAAATCCATTGTCCGCCTCGTTAGCCGACTAGTCACGTTTTATGGGTTCACAAATCGTTTATATCGAGCTAAACGCGTATGCACTTCGTGTCACGAGTTACGAGACAGAACAAGGCTACAGAAATAGTCAGTGACTCAATATTTAGGCAGCATTGATTTTCCCCTGTACATTGAGCAACCATCGTCTCGCAGAATCACCAATCACTCTTTGCTAATCGAAAATTGATGACTGTTCAATAATTTCTGATGGTCTCTTCGTGACGTGACATCTGTAAGACAGTGATTTGTGTTAATATTGATTTTACAACGAAATCTTTCGGTGTAGATTATAAATACTCATGTGTATTAATCGTGGTATGGAAATTGATCGATGTAGTTATCGGTTGCCAGGAAAATCTGATCGATAAATTAGAAAATACATATTTGTACCAACAGAGGTACGATAGGTCAGTGACTGGTAGCGTTACTCACATTTCATACTTTCAAATATAGAAAGTTAGGAATTTAGAGATTTGAAAATATCAATGTTTTAAGATCTGTAAATCTGGAAAGTTCGGAATTTAATTTTTAAATTAACAAAATAGTGTTTGATACAATTGTTGAACTAATATCTACATTCTGAATATAACTACCTATGAATTTACTTTAGTGTTTCATACGATCTACTCACGTTTTAAATTAGTGGAAGCAATCCCATGCTTTAGATTAGAATATTTACTTACTCGATTCATCCTAATTTCATGCGGCTCGTTGAATCAACACAAAATCACCATAAATCAAAAACGTAATCGTATACGTTGCGCACAGTATCTCCAGCACTATAACCATATAAATTAATCACCTATCAATTTTAACGCTCTAATTCACCTATAATGTTTTTTTAAGTTACTTTGCAACCGAAAAACACTTTATTAATATCAATAAAGTGCCAGTATCGCTTATTTCTTGCCAAAAGTAATTTTCCGATTTGCCACTTTTCCCGCTCGCCGCCAGGGCGCGCCTGCGCCACTTTTTGGCGGTCTTTTTGAACGCACAGTAGCTCTTGAAAAGCACAGGAAAAGGAAAATAATAATTCGATCGCTGTCGTTGTAAATATAAATTTATTGAAGTCTTCAAGTGCTTATACTGAACAGAAAGAATACGGCGAAATGAACAATTAAGTACACCTAAACTTCATCGCTAAATTCGCCGTATAAATATTGTACATCTATGCAGATTGTATCGTATTTGTTTGATGTGTCTATATATATCTATATATAACTTATATACAAATGAATGAAACATGACATATGTAATTTACATACATAACTGTCGGTAGAAAATACGACTTAGTCTTGATGAATTATTTGTTCGAAAGCGATTTTAGATCGTACGTAAATTGATCTCTGTACTGTTTGTACACATAAAATAGGGAATCAATATTCTCCAATTTTTCGATACGTTCGCACATTCTCTTTCGGTTCAAATTTTATTTCGACGATACACAATCTGTCAGAAAAGTTACATCGCGATTTACGATCGGCTGATAAAATTGCTCGTCTCGTAACGATCAAGTCTTTTATTGTACTCTTTAAAATATAATCGAGTGAAAAACGAAAGTGAATTCTAGTTGGCTTTAACGCGATTGAAGATGCTTTTACAAGTATATTTACAGACCTTAAGAACTAGACAATGGATATGGAAATACAGTGTCGTTCACGCTCAACGACGATCAAGATCCTTCCATTAAAATAATAAAAATGAAACTGAATGTCAAAATACGATTACGTACTTAATCAAAGTAATAAAAAAGAACGAGGAAATTAGTTATTTTGATATTGCCTCTCGTAAAAATCTCTCTAAGCCATTGCTGATTTTGTACCAAAATCGCGCAAACAATTTATACTAATTCATCAGCAATTTCTTCAAAATTGTGCTAATGTACACTCGTTGAAAAAGTAGGCTTCCTCCGCACTCTCAGTTTCCTAAATTCACAAAGTTCCAATTTCTAAATTTACAAATACTCAAATCTAAAAATATGTTAGATTTGAAAAATTCGTACTACGAAACCAACGAAACTTTCGTTCTCCGCTATCTTGAGGGAAGCCTACCACGCCGGTGTACGTACAAACACGACCGCCAAGTCGTTGTTAACCCAAGAACAATCTATTCGAAAAAGTCTATATACAAAAAGAAAACTAAAGATCGAACATCTCATAAAACAAGTATAATACATCATGGACGAAAGTTCTTGCAAATTTCTTGCTCCTCTGTTTCTCTTCGATCTCGACGCAGTTGCGATTGTTCCCATGCATAATCGGCTTCTCCGATCAGTCTGCATCCACCAACGTGGATTTGGGTTCAGACCAAGGACGTCTCGACGATCCTCGGGCAGGCGTTCACTCTAGGCAGTGGGTGAATCCGTTCACGCAAGCTTCATGTATATCGTTCTGTCCCTCATTTTACAGTGTTTCAGTTCTCTGAGGGCCCTCTGTGCCTCGCTGGGCGACGCGAACGCCACCCTGGCATCGCCCGTGGGCATGCCTCTCTCGTTGTAACGACGTATAACGTTCTCCCGTTTCACGTCAAAATCCCCGAAGAACTCGATGATCTCGTTGATGTCCGCCTTGAAAGGTACATTCTCCAGAGACAGAACACAGCCAGGTTTCCCGAAGCCCTCCACATAATCCATGGAGCCCGGATGTCGACTCAGTAGGTGTCTCGGTATGCCCATAGGACCTGGAGGGCACCTGGGTCCAAATGTAGAATTGCCGAAGCGATGTAGATGATTCATAGGCCCCGAAAACCGCGGTCGTTGTTCCTGAAGAGGTGGGAAGTGCTGCTGCTGCGTCTCTATGGCTTGTGGGTCCACCATGCCGAGCGTCTCCAGCATTTTAGCTCGAGGGACCAGTTCTATGGTGGGCACGTTCTTGCCGAACGGCAGACCGTTCTTCGCGGTAGCCCTGAGGGCCTCGTCGGTGGTGTCGAACTCGCAGAAACACTCGCCGGCGGGTTTACCGCTCTGGTTGAGCAGCATGTGTATCCGGTGGGGCACGATGCCGATGTCCGAGAAGAAGTCCAGGATGTCGCGGTCGATCGTCTGGAACGGAAGACCTCGCATGATCACGCAATCCGAGCTGGCGGTCTGGTTCATGCTGGCCTGCTCGTGGTCGCGTTTCGCTTGCGCGAACTTCTCCTCGGTGATCGCTGTAGCGGTTACAGGTTTGTTGCCTATCTTCAGCGACGCGTTGACGGACGCCTTCGCGTCCTCTATTCTAGCGAACTGCACGTAGGCCATGTACTGGGCGCTGCCGGACTCCTTGCTGCTGGTGATGAACAGGTCGTTGATCTTCCAGTCGTGGAACAGCTTCGCGATGTCCATTTCCTTGGTGAAGGACGGTAGGTCTGTTAACAGTATACAAGCGGATGACCTCACATCTTCGACTCCGTCCTCGCTTCGGTCTCTCTCTTTCTCGGGCGAGTAGGAGTCCACCGCTTTGTCGAAGATACTCTCGTCCAGGTGCAGCACCTCTACCTCGGAACCCCGGACGTATCTCGGTGTGCTCAGCGCGAGCTCCTTCCCTTCGGCCTTGCTGAACTTGACATAAGCGATACCGACCCGGTTCCCGTGATTGTCGTTGATTAACTTCAGTCCGTCCTTCCTTATATAAATACCCTGAAAAGCGTGTCGCACGTCGTTGTACGTCGCGCTCAGCGGCATGTTGCGAACCTCCACGCAATGCCCGGTCCCGCTACCGCTCTTGCTCTCGTTGGAGAACCTCGAGTTGCCCGTAGCGGCGCGACTCGCTTGTCTATCATTATCGAATCCGAACTGTGAGCTGTTCGCTTGAAAAGCATGCGGGTTGCGACGGCCCTCCAGCTCTTGCACCTTGCTCATGAAGGGATTATTGGGTCTGATCCCGGGTCTGTAGTTGATCGAGCCGTTGGAGCCGTACATGTCTGTACCGAATTGACCGGATCTACCGGGGAACCTGACCTGGTCCATTCTGCTCTGGTCGTTCTGGTTCCAGGGCTCCTTGGACCGGTTCAAAGTGGTCACTCCGGTGGTCAGATTGGGCAGGCTCGAGTTAGCTATGTTCTGGGACAAGGGACTCATGCCCACGGTGTGTCCGAGCGTCTGCACGTGCGACTGCATCAGCCCGACGCTGTTTATCCCGTTTATGGGGAACTGGTTCTGCTGAAGCAGCGACGGGTGTCCCATCACAGGGCTGCTGATCATCATGGAACGTTGCTCGCCGTCCTGCGACAAGGCAGCCACCCCAGCACCCAGTATCCCAGGTGCCAACATAGCTTGCATCTGCGTTTGAGGAGGAACCTCCCAGATGCCGTTCTCCAGCGGCTTCTTCGCGCTGGTCACCGGCTTGTCTTTATGAAACTGCCCCACGCAGACCACGTCGTTCGCGTCGTCGTCGTTCGCATCCTTCCGACGTTCCCCCGTGGAACTACGCTTGGTATCCCTGTCCCTGGACCGGGTGCGGTCTCGGGACCTGGACCGATCGCGACGACGACGTCTGTCTCTCCTGTCTCGCTCTCTGTCTCGAGATCTGCTTCTGTCTCGACGTCTACGATCCCGACCTCTGTCCCTGTCTCGCCTGTCTCTGTCTCGGTCCCTGTCGCGGTCCCGGGACCGGGACCTGTCCCTGGAGCGCGACCTGTCCCTCCTGTCCTTGCGATCCTTGCTCGACTCGCTATCGTTGTCCTTCTCCTTGTCCCTTCTGTCGCTGGGAGATCCCGGTTTCTGCACCACCGCCGCTACCGCTACTGGGGTGGATTGCATGAACGACTGCAGACTCAGTGTCTGCTGTCTCGCAGCCTCTATCACCTTCTGCATCTCCGTCCGGGAACTCAGCAGCAGCTTGATCTTCATCTCCTTGATCTTGCCGCCGTCGTGCATCATCGCCTGACGGGCGTCCTCGTCGGTGCTGCAAGGTGCACCATTTTTCTCGTGTAAGTTACATTGAGTTGATAATTTTTGTTACACGTTCACACGGTATTTATGATTTTTAATATTTATTAAGTTACTGTTTAACTATGTTCTACTGTGTATCTTATGGATTTTACTTGAAATGGAGTTTCAATGTAAGTTACATTGACTCGATAATTTTTATTAAATTTTCACACGGTATTTATTGAGTTATTGTTTAACACTAAAACTACCAAACCGGTCAAATGACCGCTCCACAAGTTTCTTATTATAAGGAATACATTTTGTTAAAATACATTTCTTCAAATCAGAATTGATTTGCATCAAGATAAAGAATAAATGTGTGTACTAATTTATGTTTCATCGTTTGTTTATTCATTTTTTAACTTCAAATTAAAATGACCTACATGGTAAGTTTAGTGTTAACTATGTTCTACTCTATATCTTATGGATTTGACTTAAAACGGAGTTTCAATCGATCACTCGAAGTACGTAGAATCTCTGTACGAGTTATAGATAACAACCTGTTGCTTCGAGAAGTATACCGTTGAATGTGTGAACGTGGATTCAGAGAAGGGTTTCGATTATTAATATTACCTGAAAGCTATGAACGCATCTCCCAGCTCACCACCGACGATATGCACCCCTCCTTCCGGTATGCTCAAGCCTCTGAAAAATTGGCGAATGTCCAAAGCGTTGGCGGACCATGCCAAGTTCTGTAGTCTAATTATCACGCTCATTTTCGACGTTTAAGGATCTGCAACCGAGTCGAAGGATTCGAATTAAACGGGGAACGAGTCCTCAACAATCAAGTGTTTACGAAGTACATTCGGATGGAACAAATAGGATAGAATTAAAAAATAACACTGATCCTGTCCTTGCGATCCTTGCTCGACTCGCTATCGTTGTCCTTCTCCTTGTCCCTTCTGTCGCTGGGAGATCCCGGTTTCTGCACCACCGCCGCTACCGCTACTGGGGTGGATTGCATGAACGACTGCAGACTCAGTGTCTGCTGTCTCGCAGCCTCTATCACCTTCTGCATCTCCGTCCGGGAACTCAGCAGCAGCTTGATCTTCATCTCCTTGATCTTGCCGCCGTCGTGCATCATCGCCTGACGGGCGTCCTCGTCGGTGCTGCAAGGTGCACCATTTTTCTCGTGTAAGTTACATTGAGTTGATAATTTTTGTTACACGTTCACACGGTATTTATGATTTTTAATATTTATTAAGTTACTGTTTAACTATGTTCTACTGTGTATCTTATGGATTTTACTTGAAATGGAGTTTCAATGTAAGTTACATTGACTCGATAATTTTTATTAAATTTTCACACGGTATTTATTGAGTTATTGTTTAACACTAAAACTACCAAACCGGTCAAATGACCGCTCCACAAGTTTCTTATTATAAGGAATACATTTTGTTAAAATACATTTCTTCAAATCAGAATTGATTTGCATCAAGATAAAGAATAAATGTGTGTACTAATTTATGTTTCATCGTTTGTTTATTCATTTTTTAACTTCAAATTAAAATGACCTACATGGTAAGTTTAGTGTTAACTATGTTCTACTCTATATCTTATGGATTTGACTTAAAACGGAGTTTCAATCGATCACTCGAAGTACGTAGAATCTCTGTACGAGTTATAGATAACAACCTGTTGCTTCGAGAAGTATACCGTTGAATGTGTGAACGTGGATTCAGAGAAGGGTTTCGATTATTAATATTACCTGAAAGCTATGAACGCATCTCCCAGCTCACCACCGACGATATGCACCCCTCCTTCCGGTATGCTCAAGCCTCTGAAAAATTGGCGAATGTCCAAAGCGTTGGCGGACCATGCCAAGTTCTGTAGTCTAATTATCACGCTCATTTTCGACGTTTAAGGATCTGCAACCGAGTCGAAGGATTCGAATTAAACGGGGAACGAGTCCTCAACAATCAAGTGTTTACGAAGTACATTCGGATGGAACAAATAGGATAGAATTAAAAAATAACACTGAGACATTCAAGTTTTTTAATGCTTTATTTCTTTTGAATTTTTGTACAGTTCTTTAATGTACATTTTAGAGTATACAATATCGGTATTATTGGTATAGTACTTTTGCTATTGTTAAATGTAAATAGGCAACAGGTTTATTTGGTCGTTTTTTATTGGAGATGATGTGAATAACTTTTTTTTTCTTTTGGAGGAACAGCGAGTATAACCAGGATTTTTGTAGTGTTATTGCAAATTTGGGAATATAGAAGTTTAGGGGTGTAATAATTTTGGGGATGTAGAAATTAAAAAATGTACACTACCGTCCATAAGTATCCGGACACAAGCGAAATATGCATTCGCGGTGCATGAAAGTTATTCAAGTATCTGCAACAGTAACTAAAATTGATTTTTTTCTGCGAAGGTCAGAATACTGGAACGTTTTTCGATTGATAATTCTCGTTTGGAACTCATATCTCGATGGAAAAGAAGCTACAGACGAACTAAACCGAAACTGTCGAGTGCGTAGCGTTACCTCCATTCTTATCTCCATTGAGGGAACCTAAACATCTACCAACAGTTTACAAACACTTGAAACATATCGAAGAACCCTCTGAATACGTTCTGCACCATAGAAATGAAACACAGTAGAAATGAAAATTTTTTTTAGAATCGAAAGCGTTTCATTAGATTCACAAATTTGGACTTTGTACTTCTGGACATGAATTTTACTTTCACACTTTCATTGTATAATTTGTACTTAAAAATTAATTCTATTATGTTATGTCACCTCGAAAAAGATAATAATAATTATTACAAATGATATGATAACCCTGAATACCTTTCGTACAAAGTTCAACTATGTTTTATGTAACGAAACCAAGTGTCCGGATACTTATGGTAGTGTAAGTACTTGGAAACTTAGTAACCATAAAAGTAATCACTCTTTTTTCTCATTCTCCCCTACGAGTCCCATATGTTTTACAAATGTTACAAATCCTTATAACCCTCTCACTGTTTACTTATCATAAAAATCAATCTCTCAAATAACAAACCATTTTCTAATTTTTATCTCAACTCTATTTTATACATGAAATCTGAACTCTATTTTATACATGAACTCTGAACTCCATATACAGAATATGTAAATGTTTCAACGCAGAACACGAGCTCCCACAGAATTTTCTCCACATATCGACGATGATTTATGCTGCAACTGCATCCAATCAAACATATCGATCCTGGAGTATCAACGATGATTTCAACGATCGGAAGCTGGTTTGTACAAAATGGAAGACGATGAACGTAGGACTTTAGTTTATTTTTTAAACGCTCCCAGTTTAACAATACCGCGATAAAAATATTAACGATCAACGTTTTTAGATTAATTTTGTACGAAAACTTCAAACATTTCGCAGAACATTTTCATGACTTAAAATTTTGAGCGAAGGAAGTACTCGTAAAATTAATTATACGAACGGCCACCATACGTCGTTCTCAAAGCAAATCCCATGCGTTACATTTATTGCTTCAGCAAATTCCACGAACGTAGATCCTTCAATGATTCGTTTAGCGCCGATAAATCCGTGAGACGTGTTGTCGAGCAATAAACAAGCGAACATATTGCTCGAATAAATCATCCTGTTGCAAAGTTTCCGAGACAGAAATAATATCCTCGTTATCTTGTGCGATCGATGGACCAAAAAAGAAATTTCGTGCGTTTCTAGTTAATGAGAACTCGAGTGAGAGGCAAAATTGCCATTAATTTTAGAGGTTCAGTGCAATTTTATGACATAAAGATATCCCTAAAATGTTTTAAATCTAAAAGGAATTTTTTAATCCGAGTGTAAGCTTGTTTTATATCTGAGTGTCAGCTTAAAATCATTTATAATGGTTTACTAATTAATTATTTACTGGACTATTTGCTGATTAATTATTTACTGGACTATTTGCTAATTAATTATTTACTGGACTATTTGCTGATTAATTATTTACTGGACTATTTGCTAATTAATTATTTACTGGACTATTTGCTGATTAATTATTTACTTTGCTAATTAATTATTTACTGATTTACTGGACTATTTGCTAATTAATTATTTACTGGACTATTTGCTAATTAATTATTTACTGCACTAATTATCCAAGAATTAACATTTCTATATTGAAAATTAGTTGAGCTTCAAATTGACATAATACAAGTGCAATCTTGCGACAGTTTTGTCATTAGATTATATTAGATTTTAGAGAAGTTTAGAAATCGACTGTCAGGCATTTTCAGCTGACATTAATTCAAGGTATCTTCATAGAACTTCAAACTTCAAATTGATATAACATAAGTGCTATTCTGAGGTACTTTTATGCCATCAATTTCTGTCGACTTCGAAATCGGTCATTGTACCCTGTACTTGGCTATCAGCCATTTTGTATGAACGCTATGTCATTTCTATAACGATATGGGTTTATCCAGTCTTATTTGTAGAACTTTGATCCTCAAAATTATTTACTCTACGTCACTTTATGTGTCATAAAATTCTACATTTCTTTATATGTTCCAAAATTAACATCATTCGCTACAATCCGTAACAGCCATTTTGTGTTAAAAATTATTGAGGAAGAATTTATGTAGTCTCATTTACTAAACTTTAAGCTTTAAATTGATGTATCGCAAGGGCCATTTTGAAATACTTTTATGTCATGAAATCGTGTCAGATTTAAAAATCTATCATTCTTTGCTACAGTAGATAGTCAGCCATTTTGTATAAAGAATATTAACGAAACATTTATACAGTCATTTTTAACAGACTTTAAGCTACAAATTGACATAGTAAAAGTACCATTTTGAAATACTTTTATGTCATGAAATCGTGTCGGATTTAAAAATCGATCATTCTTTGCTACAGTAGATAGTCAGCCATTTTGTATAAAGAATATTAACGAAACATTTATACAGTCATTTTTAACAGACTTTAAGCTACAAATTGACATAGTAGAAACACCATTTTGAAAAACTTTTATGTCATGAAATCGTGTCAGATTTAAAAATCGATCATTCTTTGCTACAGTAGATAGTCAGCCATTTTGTATAAAGAATATTAACGAAACATTTATACAGTCATTTTTAACAGACTTTAAGCTACAAATTGACATAGTAAAAGTACCATTTTGAAATACTTTTATGTCACGAAATTGTCTTGGAAAATTTGATATATTACTCTAACAAATTTAATTTTCAAACGTTAGTAATAAAAGAGCACCAGCTTTCAGTTACCCTAACGCCGGTGTTTTCAGAAGTCCGATTCGTCGGTTTAAAAATAGGAGGCCAGCTAGACGGGAGTTTAACAGCGCAGACGCTTTTCAAACGGAATCCTTCAAGGCCTGTTTCGATCTTCCATCTCAAATCTCAATCCGTATCGAAACTTTGAAGCAGCGCCGTCATTAACGCCGGGCAAACTCGCTTAAACTTAATTCTCGAAATTACAAATTCAAAGACATTCTAAAATTTAGGTACCATCGAATCAGAAATTCTTAGAGTGACAAATTCTCGAATTGGAGGTCCTCGAATTTAGAAATGTTCAAAATTACAGATTTGTAAATTTAGAAATATTCAGAATGACTACTAGTAAGTACTAGAGTTTATTTTCCGAAAGGAGAAAACGCAGCAATGTTCGAAACTCGCAAGCGCTGTATTGGAAGAACCTCTTCTTATATTGCCGTTACACCCCCATCCAATGCAATACAACGAGAGCCAACCGAGCGGTGTCCACTATGATCTAACGCAGCCACCGTAACGCTGATTGCCCACAATTTTCGTTCCGCAACGCTCAAACTATCGACGGCACTGTTTTTTAAAAGT